TTAAAAGTTGTTAAGATAGGCCCTGGCCGGTGTGCTCAGTGGTTAGAGCGTTGGCCCAAGCACCAATGGGTCATGGGTTCTATTCCTAGTCAATGGTATGTACCTGGGTTGCAGGTTTGATCCTTGGCCCTAGATGGGGCATGTGCAGGAAGCAACTAGTTGATGTGTCTCTCTCACATCAATGTCTCTCTCTCTCTCTCTCTCTCTCTCTCTCTCTCTCTCTCTCTCGCTTTCCCTCCCTCCTTCCTTTCCACTCTATCTAAAATCAATGGAAAAATATCCTGGGGTGAAGATTAACAACAACAAAAGTTGTTACATTAGAAAATCTTAAAAGGTTTCATCACAAGAAAAAACATAATTTGTAACTGTGTGGTGATGGATCTTAACTGGACTGATTGTGGTGCTCATTCAGCAGTACATGCAAATATTGAATCATTATGTTGCGTACCTGAAACTAATACCTTATGTATCAATTATATCTTAATTTTTTTAAAAAGGAAAGGGGGTAAAAAAGTCTTTGTCAAATAATTCCAATATCTGAGTCATCTTGGGGCTGGTGTTTGTTGATTTTCTTTTCCCATAAGATTGGTCAGACTTTTGTGGTTCTTTGTATGTTGAGTGATTTTGGATTGTATCCTGGCCATTTGAATGTTATGTTATATGATACTCTGAGTCTTGTTTCATTCCTCTAGATTCAGGCTACAAGTTCTGATCTGCCTTCTATTCTGCATGTTTGCCACCCACAGGCCAGCAGATATTTAGGCAGTTACCTACCCTGTTGTTTAGTTCTCAAAAGCTTTGGTGTTCTGTTAGGATCAGATACATGCATGTGCAGCACCGGGGACCTGTAGGAGTTTGTTCACAACCATGTAAGATTACATTCTCAAGTCTCCTGTGATTTCACCCACACTGTCTTGTTCACAGGTGCGCCCCCTTCTAGTCCTGGCCAGATAGCGCTTTAGTCTCCCTTCTTTGCTGTGTACTTCCTGTGACCGCTTCTGTGTCCGAGAAAGGATAAGATATGGAGATTTGAGAGGAAAATGGGGAGGGGTGAATCTAATGGGATGTGGGGTGGTGGGAGTCACCAAGAACTAGCTGCTGTGGCTGCTGGGCTCCTGCTGTGGGCTGGTGCCCCAGCAGAAGACAGAACAGCCAAAATGAGCATTACATTTAGCCAAAGGCACACGGAGGGGTGTTCAGTCCTGTGGGGCTCGTGAAGTGGCGATAGCAAGTCGCCATCTGTCATACTTTGATTGGGGTTCCACATCAAGTAAATGGACTAGCAAGCAGCTCCCTGCCTTTAGAAGTAAGTGCCAGGCCCAGGTTGATGCTATTCGTTGGGTGTGGTAATGGGGAATTTATGCCACTCTTGTGATGCGTGATAAAATCAGGGGGTGAAAGCACCTATTAACACTGACTAACTCAAAAGCTGACCACCAGCACACATCCATTGTTCCCACCAGCACGCTTTAGTGCTGGGCTTTGTCTGACTGGCTTCACAAGAGACAAATGCCATTACAGGAGACCAAATAACCTTGTTTAGGCAGTGGCCAGATAATAGAGACGCTCCAGGTATTAGCCTGACTGCATTAGTTTGATTTGTACTACTGTCCACTTTGTCCTGGGCATTAATGGAGACAAAGGCTTGGAATTACAGGAGCAGAGATAAGCTGTGGACTAGAGCCTCTGTGCTTTGAGGGAAGGATAATTCTATCTTGTGTTTTCATTTTCATTTTCATCCTGTTTTTCCTCATAGTTAAAGTCCAGTCTCCTCCCCTCCCCCAAATATCCACATAGTCTCTCCAAATTACTATCAATTGTAACTGCTAAAAAAATTTAATGGCTCATTATTTTCTTTAACAAGATCCGCATTTATGTTTTAGGTTTTTGGAAATGATTTTAGGGGGAAAACACAATTGATCTTGTATAGTATCTTGCTTCTTAAATATTCTTACATATTATGGGCTCACTTCACAATATTTAATGATATTGTTATTGGTCTGAAAATGTAAAAGGATGTATAATTACATTCATAGTTACTTCTTTAATATTATAAATTCTAGTATTTAAATTTTTCTGACTTCTGTTATTTGTTTTAATTATAAATGCATCATTTCTATTATAAATTATTTCAGTTATGTATAACTTCATCTATAAACACAATTTATTTCAGTTATAGACAAAATTGAATTTTATTTAAAAAATATATTTTTAATTCTCATCCAAAGATATGTTTCCATTGATTCCAGAGAGAGAGGGGAAGGGGGAGAGAGAGAAAAATATCCATCAAGTTGCCTCTTATTCAATATAGTACTGGAAGTCCTAGTCATAGCGATCAAACAAGAAAAAGAAATAAAAAGGCATCCAAATTGGAAAGGAGGAGGTAAAACTGTCATTATTCGCAAATGACATATTGTACACAGAAAACCCTAAAGAGTCCACCAATAAACTACTTGACTTAATAAATGAATTCAGCAGGATACAAAAATAACACCCAGAAATCGATGGCATTTTTATATACCAATAATGATCTCTCAGAAAGAGAAACTAAAAAAACAAACAACAACAAAAAAAACCCAATCCCACTCACCATTGCAACAAAAAAATTAAGATACTTAGGAATAAACTTATTTAAGGAGGTAAAAGACCTGTACTCAGAAAACTATAGGATATTGAAAAAAGAGAGAGGAAGATATAAACAAGTGGGAGAATATACCGTGTTCATGGATTGGTAGAATTAGCATCATTAAAATGTCCATAGTACTCAAAGCAATCTATAGATTCAATGCAATCTCTATTAAAATACCAATGGCATATTTCACAAATCTAAACATTTATATGGAACCAAAAAAGACCCTGAATAGCCGCAGCAATCTTCAGAAGAACAAAGTTAGAGGGATCAACATATCAGATATAAGGTTATACTATAAAGTCACTGAAATCAAAACAGCCAGGTACTGGCACAAGGCATACAGGTCAGTGGAACAGAACAGAAAACCCAGAAATCGACCCAAGCCATTACACTCAATTAATATTTGACAAAGGAGGCAAGAGCATACAATGGAATCAAGACAGTGTCTTCAATAAATGGTGTTGGGAAAATTGGACAGATACATGCAAAAAAAAAAAAAATGAAACTAGACCACCAACTTACACCATACACAAGAATAAACTCAAAATGGATAAAAGACTTAAGTGTAAGTCGTGAAACTATAAAAAACCTAGAAGAAAACATAGGCAGCAAAATCTCAGACATCTCTCATAGCAATGCTTGTTGACACATCTCCTAGGGCAAGGGAAACTAAGGAGAAAATAAATGGGACTATATCGAAATAAAAAGCCTCTGCACAGCAAAAGAAACCATCAACAAAACAAAAAGGGAGAACATATTTGGCAATGATATGTCTGATAGAGTTAATATCCAAAATATATAAGGAACTCATAACCGAAGGAAGACAAACAATCCAATTAAAAAATAGGCAAAGGACCTAAATAGACACTTTTCCAAAGAGGACATACAGATGGCCAAGAGACATATGAAAAAATGCTCAAAGTCACTGTTCATCAGAGAGATGCAAATTAAAACGACAATGAGGTATATCACGTCACACCTGTCAGAATGGCTACCATCAACAAATCAACAAATGACAAGAGCTGGCCAGGATGTGGATAAAAGGGAACCCTAGTGCAGTGCTGGTGGGAATGCAGACTGGTGCAGCAGTTATGGAAAACAGTATGGAGTTTCTTAAAAAAATTAAATATGGAACTGTCATTTGACCCAATGATCCCACTTCTAGAAACCCGAAATACCAATCAGAAAGAATGTATGCACCCCTATGTTTATAGCAGCACAATTGATAATAGCTAAGATCTGGAAACAGCCCAAGTATCACATGATCTCACTCATACGTGGAATATAAGTAACAAAATAAACTGACAAATGGAGTGGATCCAGAGACATGGAAGCGTGGAACAAAGTGAGGAATCTTGGAGGAAGGGTGGGAGAGGGTGGATGGGTGGGAGGTAATCAACTAAGGACCTTGTATGCATATATGCATGGCCCATGGACACAGACAATGGAGTGGTGAGGGCCTGGTGATAGGGGGGAGGGCAGGGGCGGGCTGGAGGGGGTCAATGGGGGGAAAAATTGGACATATGTAATACTTTCATTTATAAAGTATTACATTCATTTAAAAAAAAATAGTGCCCTGACCATTTTGGCTCAGTGGATAGAGCGTCAGCCTACGGACTCAAGGGTCCTGGGTTTGATTCCGGTCAAGGGCTTGTGCCTTGGTTGCGGGCACATCCCCAGTGGGGAGTGTGTGGGAGGCAGCTGATCGGTGTTTCTCTCTCATCGATGTTTCTGACTCTCTATCCCTCTCCCTTCCTCTCTGTAAAAAATCAATAAAATATATTTGGAAAAAAATAGTGCTTCATATCTTATATTAATGAAAGCAGTTCTTTATACACTGGAAAAATGGCCGTCTGGCAGTGGAGTCTTCCTTGGAGAACCTTTGGTGCCTCTGGTCTCCCAGTTACTGCCCTTGGGGCCCTTCTGACCTCCTCCCTCCCCATCTCAACAACAGTGGAACAGAATAAGGCAGCTCATTGCTGACCAGTTGTTGAGACACAGAGCTCTCTATCCCCAAATGTGCTCTCGGTAAATGATTTTTAAGAGCTTCAAAATCTGAGTCATGCTAGTTTTCCTCAGCAATAATGTGCAAACTCCCTCTAATCTTTCTCATGCAATAGGAGAAAAAGAAAAAAGTTCAATAAGAATCTTCTACTTTGGTTATCACTGGGACAGAAAAGGACAGAGGAATAGGAAAGAAAGAAAAGGGAAACAAGGAAGAATTCAATTCAAAGGGGCAAAGTTGAAATAGGCTTTTAGGAGACAAAGTCAGAGCCCTCAAGCTAACATTTCAAAAAGAACACCCACTTTGGCCTTCCATTAATTAAGTGGAAAACAAATACCCAGATTTTCAGTGGTAAGACTCCTTTCTTGGGATGCTATTTAATCCTATTTGCATCTTTAATTGACAGGTACAATGGCAAATGCAAAGAAAATACATAGTTTTTGTCTCAGAAAGCGCCCTGATTATTTCCAACAAGTATGTCAGAGTACATACGCAAGGCAGGCCTTATCCCACCTTCTCAGTCAACATATTACTTGTAACAAAATATACAGCCAATTGGAAATCACTACACTAGAAATAGATATAAGCCACATGTTCATTATCACTTTAAGGAATGAAATTAAAGTACAGCATTACATGAATTAGAAAAATATTTTAAAATTTGCATTTACTTGCAGCTCAATTCTTTTGTGCAATGGTATGAATATGACAACTGATACTTTTATATTTCTACTTTGGTATAATGACTTTGCTTTTTTAAAAAACTGAAACTGGCATTCTATAAGGATTTGTATTGCTATATGGTGAAAAATTTTCACTGATTCATGCCAGAAATCAAGAGAAAATAAGATTTATGAATAAATCATATTTGATCATTAAAGCATAAACACGCTTCAAAATGCATTTGAAGGAAACTAATTGAAACAAGTCACACCTTTGTGCCATTCTCCAGATGATTTTACTTGAATTATTTTGTAAATGTACAGAATTCAGTTTGTGGAGCCACTTAGTCACGAGTTTACTGATTTTAGCAAACTAATTTATTACATTAAATTTGCTCACTGAAAAAATAGCTGGCTGTTTCTGAAAATGTTTATTAAAATATATAGAAAAGGCCTTTATTATATTTAAAAATGCCCAAGTATAACAGGTACCATGATATAGTAATTATTTACAATATATTTTCAGAAAGTGACAATGTTCAGATTAAATGCAGAAAAGAAAACATCACATTTAAAAAACTTGATATTTCCATTGGTTCTTCGTGTTCTGCAATTGGAAGATAACTTCACAAGTTTAGTTTTCTATCTATTCCAAGAGATTTGTGTTGAAGTTTTTCTTCACCATTAGAAACTGTGATTCTCTGTGAGACCTCCTCAGTTTGGCACGCCGATTTTGGAACCATATCTAAAATTAAGAAGAAATAAAATAGATCTCAGAAACATTATTTCATTATTCTTAACATTTCAATCATCAGGAATAACAACTAAATTTGAAAATTACCTGGATTCTGTCTTCCTCTAGATTCAATTTTCGAGCTAAGTCTTCTCTGATATCAATGCCAGGATAGCAGTTTACTCTAAAGACATTTTCCAACACTTCAATCTAAGAATAAGGAAATAGTTATTTAAAATGTTGCTTCTTGGAATGTCATTATAAAATGGACTTTAATTTGTATAGCAAAATAATTTCATTTAAATCTTCGACAATTATTTTGTATGTCTTTTTAAAAAAATGACTACCCACAAACTGTTAAAAATGATACATTCTGTTATTTTATTAATAACGCCTAAATTGAAATCCCAAAGTGAATGGGCTTTTGCTCAACAGGGTGTCAATTTAAGTCTTTGTATTATTATTAGTTGAAAAAACTTCCCACCTGGTTTTGAGTAAAAGCAGTTCTTGGTCTTCTGCCTCTATACCAACTCAACTCTCTTTTCAAAGACAGTCTTTCTGAGGTTGAAAAGTAACTTTCATATTTCATAACTTTTTCTTCTGGCACTGGGTGATCCACAGTACAAGAGAACAAAATCCCATTTGGAAGGCTTGGGACATGTAGATATAGGTTCACATCTTTCTCTAAAAACAGAAAAATAAACCCCATCTTAGAAGTCCAATCCTACATTCAACAAAGTTCTATAAGAATTTCAGGAACTTGACTTTAATTTTTCTAGTGACATTCTTCTGCGTTTCACAAGAGACTTGACCTCTCATCAACCAAAACCAAAAAGCAAATCAAAATGAAGATCCTGCCTTGGTGATAGAGGACCTTTTGGTCTCTGAATGCCACTTATTTTTCAGTGAAAAAAGACTTAGAATATCTGATGTGTCAAATAAACACAGAGATCTGCAGGTGCGTGGCCTTTCCTGTGAGTGAACACTATACCCACTGGATTCAAGGCTGATAGTCTTTTTATTTCCCATAGGACTCAGCTGGAGATATTAAAAGTCCTAGATACTTTAGTTATGTAACTGGATGAAACTGCAGTTTCTTTTTAACTCTAGGCAATATAAAATTAAAGGCCAGATTAAACAGTGCAAGAGAAATAAAAGAGTTTAAAAATTAAGCATACCTGAGGAGCTGCAGGTGTCTGCCCAAGGCCGGTGGGGTTTCATGGATGGAACACTGTCTTTCTTCTGGTCCAGTCCTAAAATGCTCTCAATTGAAAAGGAGCAGGGCGAGGGTTTGCTTTCCCCAAGCCGAGCGCCCTCCTGAAGGCTAGGAGACATCCTCCCGTGGGCTGCACAGGTCGGCAGCTCTGGCCTCTGTGCACCTCTTGGCTGGCTCTGCCCCACACATACAGGGCGGTGATCTTCCTGCAGGTCACGTTAGGGCTCTGCTGACAAGGGGGCTGGATTTAGAATGTCACTAATTAAAATCCTGTCTTAGAAAGTTTTAGCAAGTCAATGAACACCCGGTCAGCAGCTTGAGGAGTTAATTGTTTATTTGTTTGCAAAGTAATTAGCAACTAATGGCTACACCAGGGGGGCCACCTACAGGGACAAAATGTGTTATCTCTCCTAAGCAGAACACAGACTTAACTTTCTCAAAAGAAGTGATGCACAAACTAGCACTCCTCTTTTATTTGAAACCATTAATGCATAAAATCATGCTTTTATTCTGAAGTTCATACTTTCATGGACTCCAGTTACCTAAACATACAGGCGAGATAGGAAAGCAGTCAAGTAATAAATAATCTAATTTAAGTGAATTTCCTTCCAAAGAAATTGGAAAAAGTAATAATCTCTTAATGCTATTACGGTAATTCTGATGAAAATTCCTGTTTTTCATATGCATATGTAATAGTAAATGTTGTCAATGAAAACACAATAGTATTTGGAGTGCAGCATACTGGAAAAGGTTGGCAATGTTATTAACGCTGAGTGTAATTGTCTTCCAAGTGCCGGAATTAATTCATAAGAAACAGTTGCACCAAGTATTTTAAATAATTAATGAGAAAATTCCCTTCTTTCATCTTTTGTTTTAAATTCGAGAGATAGAAATTTATATAAAGATTCATATGTAACTATCTCCAAGCAATTTAAAAGCATGGCTTCAACTTAAAGGGAAGGATTTCTCTCACCATAGTTATTTCAAAGAAAAGAACATAGTGTACTGTATTTTTTTAAAGAAAAATTTCCCTCTGAGGGATTGGGGGGTTTCCATGAAGACAATAGGTTTGTGAAAAATAACCAAGAACAGAATGTTTTAAATTTGTAATCTTAAGAAAAACTGAAATTAAGAGAAGAATATAGCTGCTAGTTGGGAAGATTTTGAAGTGGCCGCTCCCTTCAAAAAGTACGGTACTTTTAGTTCTGTGCTCTGCTGTAGCTCTTCTCCCAGTCCCTTCCTGATGGCCAGCTTTATCATGCTTTTAAACAACTCCTGGACTTTTCTTCAGGAAAAATAGTCTGCTCATAGAGGAAATAGCCTTTACAGGATGGAACTCAACCTCATCAGATTTTATCCCCTCATGATGTCATAAACATTACGCTAAATTCTCCTATGCAAGCTCTAGAGTGAACAAAAGATTCACATACAAAACATCAACAGGCACATGTAAGATGGTGTGTAGATACACAAGTAAAGCCATGCTGACAACTGCTAGACAGATGTGAGCAGAGCAAGGACCATGGGCCAAGTACAGAAAGCCCAATGCCTAACAAGGGACAAAACAAGAACTTTGCTCCAAGGTAACATCTTCCCCTCACATATCCTTGGTCATGAAGTTTAGACCCCCTGACCTTTTTCTCCATAACACAACATCTAGGCTTCAGTTGTATTTCAGCTCCAGGCCCAGAAATGTAGCAAAACCAGACAAGTGACACCATGGTTGACCTCAGAACCCACTCATTGACTGTGAAATGACCCCCTGCCCTGGCACAGACCAAACAGTGGAGACCACGACCCTGAAGAGCACACCTGGAGAGCTGATGAATATTCTATTGAGATACTCCCTGAGACCTCCCCTAAGATTTCCACCTGCAAGAGAGAGATTAATGCTCAGGACAAAGGACCCAGTGGGCACTCTCCTATCCCTCTCTTCTTCCCCCACAGGCACGCATCTCCTAACCTCTAAGGGAGCCCATGATACTTGCAACCAGGAGAGCAATCGACAGCAGCAGCTCGTCCCAGGCTACCTTCCTGACCCTGTCTCCAAGGCCCCCTTTTCTCTGACTTTTCAGTGAGTCCAAGCAGCCCAGGCTAAGCTTCCCTGTTGCTTCTTTTATGACCTTCCTTGTTTCACTGTCCTAAGTATATTTTTGCTGCCGTCATGGACCCAATACCCTTTGGCTCAGTGCTATGTACCACTTCCCTTTGGATATCTCCATTAACCAACACTTTTCCTTTAATAAATTCAATTTTTCTTTATTCGCCATCTGAGAAGGCTTCTTAGCCTGTCCGGCACCACTGACTTGAACCTTTCAAGAATGAATAAACTAGTAAACTTTATACCGCGTGGAGGTTTTACCTATAGTAGATAGGCTGTACGAAAATGGGGGTGAACTTAATCTGGGAAGACTTGGAGCAAGAGAGACTTCATGCCCTTCCCAGATTCCTTTCTCTCCTCTGAAACATTCATTCATTCATCCACTCATTCGACAATTGGTTGAATACCTACTCAGTACCAGAATAAATAGAATAGGATTCATGCCCTCATGAAGCTCACCATGGTGCTGGGTGAGGTAGAGGTGGAAAGAGAGGTAACGAACAATAGTATATAAATAAATAAATTCATACATTAATTAGAAGAATGAAAAAAAAAAAGCAGGTGAGCCCGGTAAGCTGGATCAGCAGTGCATAAGGTGGGAAAAAGCCTCGCTGAAACTCTGAGTAGTGCCCCCCATGGAGTAGTGCCTCAGAGGTGCAAGTTGAAAGGATGTTATAGCACATGCTGGAGTCACTCCAGTCCCCAATTTCTTCTTTATCAAGAGGACATTCCGATATTTTTATTTGTCTTGAGTTGATTTTATCTGGATTTACATAATACCAGTTTATATATAGACTAGAGGCCCGTTGCAGGAAGATTCCTGCAAGAATAAATAGGGCTTCCTGTGGCTGGAGCAAAGCAGAGAAGGGAGCGAAACCTGCTGAGGTGGGTTTCGCTCCTGCTCCCAGCCGCTGTGGCTGGGTTTTTTTCTCCTGCTCCCAGCCGCTGCGGCTGGGTTTCCCCTCCCTCCTCCCGCCTCCGCAGCCTTGGCTCTGTTCCTGTCTCCGCTGCCTCTACTTTGCTCCCTTCTGTAGCGCTTCCCTTCCACATTGTCTTCAGTCTTCGCTCCCAGCCGCCAATTTGCAAATTAACCGCCATCTTTGTTGGTGGTTAATTTGCATATCACGCCGATTAGCCAATGGGAGGTGTAGTGAAGGTATGGTCAATTACCATGTTTGTCTATTATTAGATAGGATGAGTTGATAAAAATCAAAGGTAGGAAAGAATTTCTCTGAAAATGGGGGTAAAAGTTTTCTCATATGTAAAAGTATTCACTCAACAGATTTTTATAGAGCACTTAATATGTGCCAGATACAATTCTAAGTACTAGAGATCAGTGTTGAACAATACAAGGTACTCAGAGAGTGATAAACTCATTAAAAGGAATAAACAAGGTGATGGTGATGAAACTTAACAGGGGTGGGTGGATAGGTAGGTAGGGAGAGGGTCTTTAAGTAGAACAGTTGGGCAGGCCTCCCTAAGGAGGTAACATCTTAGCTGATGGTGAGGATGAGAGAAAGTCAGCATGCCAAGATATTGAGAAAGAACATTCAGTTTAGGAAACAGCAAGTACAAAGGTTTTGCAGCTGAAAAGCACTGGAATATTTGAGAAAGAAAAGGCAATAGCCAAAGGGAAGTGAGTGGTACCAGATGCTATTATTTGGAGAACCAGGCTGGGCTCGATAATGGATGGCTTTTATAAAAATCATGGTAATGAATTCAAGTGCAAGGGGAAGCCAGGGTAGCATTTTAAGCTGGGACTGACAGGATAGTCTGAGCAGTTTTTTTTTTCCCTCTTAATCCTAACCCGAGAATATTTTTTCCATTGATTTTTAGTGAGAGTGAAAGGGAGGGAGGGAGGGAGAGGAGTAGGGGGAGGAGTAGGGGGAGAGGGAGAGGGCGATGAAGAGGGAGAGGGAGGGAGAGGGAGAGGGAGAGAGAGAGAGAGAGAGAGAGAGAGATGTGGGAGACACATTGATTGGTTGCCTCCCACCAGGTATGTGCTCTGACTGGGAAATGAACCCTTCAATGCAATGCTCTAACCACTTAGCACACTGACCAGGGTGTCTGAGCAGGTTTTACTCACAAAACTTCTGACATGAAATGTATATGGGTTTTCCATTCCAAATAATTCTCCAATTCTCTGCAAACAACTGGGTGCCCTACAATTCAATTCAATTCTGACACTAACTACCAGGAGTTAACACAAACCCCACAGGTTCAGTCCCACAAAACTGCATGCACTTCAGAAACCAGTCACAAATCCTAGGTGGCCACTTGTACTTCTGACCAACTGGCCATAAATCCAGGGTTTCCATGAGCCCTCCTCAGGTTCAGTTATGTGCTAGAATGGCTCCCAAAACTCAGGAGGCACTTTACTTATGTTTCCTGTTTTATTATAAAGGATAACTCAGAAACAGTCAAATAGAAGAGATGCATAGGGCAAGGTATGGGGGAAGGAAGCTCTCTGAGCCACCATCCTACCCTCCTAGCACTTCAATGTGTTCAGCAATCAGGAAGCTCTTTGAACCCAGTTTTGTGGAGGTTTCATTACGTAAGCATCATTGTTTAAATTATTGGCTATTGGTGATTGACCTCAATCTCTATCTCACCTCCCCTGAGGTTAGGAAGTAGGGCTGAAAGTTCTAAACTTCTAATCAAGGTTAATAAACCTGGAGACAGATTGATCAAGAACAAAAGAACACAAATTACCAATATTAGGAATAAAGAGGTGTTACCATTACAGAGACCACAGACATTAAATAGATAAAGGATTATGAACAACTTTATACCAATAAATTCAATAACTTGCATAAAATAAGTATCTTTAAAAGCTATGATTACCAAAACTAAGATAAGATACAACAGAAAATATTGGCCCTGGCCAGTTTGGCTCACTGGTTAGAACATAGGCCCGTGGATCGAAGGGTCGTGGGTTCAATTCCTGGTCAAGGGCACATACCTCGGTTGCTGGTTCTATCCCTGGGGTGTGTGTGGGAGGCAAGAAATCAATGAGTCTCTCTCATGTGGATGTTTCTCTCCCTCTCTCCGCCCGCCCTCTCCCTCACTTCTACTCTGTCTGAAAATCAATGGAAAAAATATCCTCGGTGAGGATTAAAAAAAAA